GAGCGATCTGCAGTCTCTCAACAGATCTCGTATCTGCACCTTAACAGCTAATCTGAAGGTCGTCTACATACGGTGAACCTGAAACAGTGGAAGGAAATTCCATTAAAATGTAATTAATTTTTAGACTGAATAACACTCAGCATAGAGCCTTGAGGCACACCCTCTCCCTGCTCGAAAACATCTGACAAAACAGAGCCAATCCTTACTTGAAACGCTCTTGTCCATAGAAAATTTCAAATGAAGATTGGTAGCCACAGTAGCCATGCAAGCCACAAGCATGAAGGTCATGCAAAATGCCATAACTCCATGCTTTATCGTATGCCTTTTTGTTGTCAAAGAAGACAGAGGTCAAGTGGTTTCGTTTGACAAAGGCCTTACATATGGAGGTTTCTAAAGAGAACATACTGTCGATGATCGCTCTGCCTTTACAGAAACCACTCTGATAGGGTAAGATTACATTTCCTCCCCAAATAATAGACTAGGCGGCGATTTACCATTTACCATTAATTTGCAAATGCAACTCGTAAAAGCAATTGACCGATAGTTCAAGGGATTCTTTGGGTCTTTTCCTTGGTTTAGCTATGTGCTTTCTTCTATGCATTGGGAAAGATATGCTTCTTCTACACTCAATTGTATAGAGAAGAAGGACACTCAACTATTTACTCGAGAGGTGCTTTAGCATTTCATAACTTACGCCACCTAGACCCAACTCGACCTATGTGTCTCCATCGATGCTTTTTTAAACTCAAACATAGTAAAGTTGCCGTTATAAGGCTCTAAATTGGAAGAGTTGAAAGCAATGAGAATTTTTTCGAGATGATGCTTTTCAGAAAGAAATGCTGGTTTGTAATTGCTGCCACTGGAAATGGCAGCAAAGCTCTCACCAATTGTATTTGCAATTTCTTCTGTTTCATTAATCCCTCGGCCATCTTTTTTCAGAAAGAAAAGTGAGTGGTCTTTGTACATTCTGCATGCTTTTTAACACTTTCCGATACTCATTTACTTGGCATAGATGATGTAAATCAAGATACATAGGCTGCTCAGAAATCTTCTGGCTCTTATGCCTTACTTTTCTTGCGTTTGCTTTAGATTTTTTAAAGAACATAAGGTTTTAAAAGGGGGGGGGGTACTTACGAAAAAATTCCCCAAGCTTTTCTCTGTTTTGCCAGTGCTTCTTTGCATTCACGATTCCACCATGGTTTGGGATGCTTTGGAAGTTTCGTTGATGTCACCGGTATAGAGACTGTAGCTGCACGAATGACATCAGTGACAGTTTCCACAGCATCATCGATGGGTGAATCTTTTACAATCTCTTCTTCCATCTCTTTTAAAGACAAGAAGAGTTCCCAGTCTGCCCTGTTAAGTATAAAATGGGAGAACTTGACATGGTGTTTACTCATTCTCATGTGATAGAAACAAAAATGGGAAAATGATCACTGTTGTAAGGATCATTTCCAACATTAAATATATGAAATGGTAACAAAGATGGTGGACAGATAGCTAGAACTAGAGCGTGAAATGTCCTTGTACGCTCATGGAAGTAGGTACCTTGTCCACAACTGAGGAGACACAGGCCATGATCTCAGATCATTTGCTTAATTTGCCTGCCTTGGATGTTTCTATCCTTAGTTCCTCAGAGCAGGCTATGGCCGTTAAAATTCTCTACTATGGCAAAGGGTTCATGCAGCTGCTCTATTAGGTCATCTAAATCTTGCTGATCAATGTGGTGATTTGAAAGGCAAATAAAGGGAACAAACTGATATCAAACTCCATATATTTATTTATGTAGTGACAGCTTGGAGGTTAGTCACTAAAGAAATTGGACTGGAAGAAAAATCAAGTGAGGTGAGGAGACTTACACCTCCACTGACACTCTCACCTCCCAAGTTATCTTTCCTAGCAAAAGAATATATCCGAAGCTTTGCTACTTGTTCCAATTTTAACATAGTTTCCTGAATCACCAAGCATACCGGTTGATATATATGGATCAAATGTTTGATGATAACAAGACTTTGGTGGAAGGCGCCACAATTCCAAGATGCAAGGTTAGCCATTATAACTGATATTTGTTCTTTCTGTGCTGTTTCTTAGTTTTGTGTGGAAGCAGGTGTTTGGGGGCTTCCAAACCCTGCTCTACTTCCATACTATCCGAATCTAAAGATTCAAACAACATGTTTTCAAAAGAGCTGTTGCTTTGACTTCTATTTTTTTAACTGTTCTTGGAGAGACATATTTTGGTTTGCTTTGAATTATGTTTTCTTTTTTTATATGTGTGTCACATGGGTTGAATTTCCTTTTTACTTGGTGGTTGTAATCTACTGGGATTTATTTGAAGGAGTCTGCATAGTTGTTGAAGTTTGGGTTGTATTTATAAGAGGTGTTTTAACTGCAATCACGTAATATATATTTGGACGAACCCGTGTGCTTTTTACTAGCCTTCTGGCCTCGGCATACAAGATGTTTCTAGCAACTTTTGTAGTCTGCACTTCCTTTTCTGATTTCCATATTGGGCATGAGCAAAAAAATGCTGGGTGTTCACCTTTGCAATAATTTATACACAATGGCGCAGCGGTGCAGTTATCACAGTCATGGCTGATCTTTGTGCATCAGGCGCATGTGAGGCTACCATGACAGGACATTTTAGAGTGGCCGAAACGCTGGCATTGGAAGCATCGCATAGATTTTGGAATATAAGGTCTTGCAGGAGAATTTAGATATCCAGTCTTAATATTCTTAGGCAGATCAAGCGAGTTGAAGGTCAGAATTCTGTGTTTTGTATCGATCAGCTGACTATCCTTATGCATCTTAAGCGTGGTCAATTGTTTGGATTATTTGTATTTGCATCGGTACATTAATTTTTATAACAGAAGACTTTTCAGAACAGTCGGTACCTGGAACGATATGACTAGATTCAGGGTGTGTAATTAAAAATATATTACGATTAGCCATACTGAAGAGATATAAGATTCGGGTCCGACTGCCTCACCCACCATGGAGCCGAACAAAGGAACACAGAATCCTGTGTTAGGGCTAGCCTGACCTATACGTAAACTGAAGCCCCACAGTCGGCTTTCGCAAAAGCAAGTACTCCCAAGACCTTATTCCCAAGCCACTGATACAAGGACTAGTGACCAGCCAATTGACACCCGTGAGGACAACAAGGTGCCTTCCGTTTAGCTTAAGCAGATGCCAAAGCAGTGTTTTGGGGTCAGTACCTGACCCCTCAACTACCAGGACCCTCCTTTCCAGCAACACAGGTCTCCATGCATGGCAAACACGTCTGCAGTTTTCTTGCCACTTGAAAGCTACAGACAAGGGATGTTCCAGTTTCTTACGATGAGCCCCAACCTATGAAGAGGGAAACCACAAGGAAGAAGGAAAGAACAAAAGTTACAGCTAAGAAGAGAGGAGACCGAAAAGAGGATAGATCACTGGGGCTCCAGGATCGTGACATCCGTCTCACCAAGATGATTCCCTGAAGGGCTAAGGTACCTCAGGATTGCCACACCTGTACTCACAAAAGTGAGCCCCTGAGGGGAACTAAAGGCAAGAGTTGTACCTAATGTTGCATTCCTACATTATAGTTATGCTTCCCTGTGGAGAAGCAACATCCAACTATCCATTCTTTATCAACACTAAAGGCTTTTTTTAAATAGAAAGTCTTTATTAGCTACCTCTGAAACTTATATCTTTAGCGAATACTGTTCCTATAGAAATTCTTTTTCAGCACATGTTGCAAGTAAATTTGTAAAGAGAGCTAAGTTTACATTGTGTCCATTTAAATTTTGTACTTATCTGCGTATAAGGGAGAATGAATAGGTTTTGAAGAGTGGTATAAAAGGTGTTGGAATGCTTGTATATACAATACACAAATGAGTAACTTAAAGAACTGCATATTCTTGTAGAGGATTCCATTTCTCAAAAATCTTGTTTTATGTTAAAAACTATTAAAATAACTCGGAATTTTCTATATTGCACATTAAAATTTCAAATGGAGGGGTAAATGTGTAAATTGACTTTTAAGTAGAGATATTGTTAAAACTGAGATCTACTCTGTTGCGGTATGGGAAATGAATTGACTACCAGTCTCTACAGTGGTAGAAAATGCGACAGGGTAAGAAGTTGCTTGAAAGGAAAGAATTTGCTTTTGCAGTTTTTTGGTAGAGAAAATACTTATGTACTAATGAGATTGATGAAAGGGTTCAGAATTTATTTAGAAATTTGCATCAAATTAATGATTATCACGTTCATCTGTGCTATTAAAAATGTTCTCTTTTATGGAAATATTAATAGGTAAGTGCATTTATCATTTGAACTAATGTTTGATGCTGAATAACTTGTAGCAATGCACATAAGCTGATTAATTTTTTGCCACTATTGCTGTGCAGTCTTAGTTATTTGTTTGCACTTTTGTTTTAATTAATTTATACATGTACTTCAGCACAAAAATTTCAGTAACACTATTAATATATATATATATATATTGGTTTTAAAATATATTCTAGTTGTTTTTAAAGCTCTTGGCCTAGATAACATTTAAGTCCTTGGATGAGTTGAAATAATGCTGCCTCGTGTCTTATAAAATTTTGCTTGTTTTAATGTGTAATTTTTATTGCTCAAGCAGTAAATTTTAAATAATTTTTAGGGAGCATATGGCAGCATAGTGATAAAATTTTTCTCAGTGTGATAAAATGTTTCTTAAGTTAATAATTTCAGTAAACAAAGAGTTAAAGTAAAATTACATGCTTTAAAACCTTTTTAATAATAATACTAAATTTGAACACAAGACAGAAATAAGAGTAACATGGCAAACGTTTTGCCAAAACTAAAACTACTGTCAACTAGGTATTCACTAGAACCAACTTATGTTCTTACAATGTATTCCATCCCCTTCCTGTGTAGAACATTATCATAGTGTTTGTGTGGTTATTCATGGATCTCCTTTATCATTTGTGTTTTAAATGTTGTTTGGGGTGTTTTAAATTTTGTTTTATTTTTAGATACACTGCTGCTTTGATTCAAGGCATGAATGTAGCCCTTCGAAAATATGTCTTTATTGCCTTTGGTTTTGGATTTACATTTCTAGTTTTATATGGAGCATATGCTTTGGCATTTTGGTAAGTATTTATGGTCACTTTGATTTGGCATATTTTGTTTATCAAATTTTGTGTTTAAATACTTACGTGTAACTACTTTTGTAATTTTACAAGATGCAAACTTTATCAGGCATACTTTTTAGCAACAACAACAACAAAAAAAAAAGTGTCAAATAAGTTATATAATTTCACTTGATGGCACAAATCCTAATTTTTGTAATTATGCTGTCAAGTGCTATTTTGCAGCTTCTGTCTTAAAAAAAGAAAGAAAGGAAAATATGTGTAATTCTTTGAATAATATTTAAAAAAAAAAAAAAAAAAAAAAAAAAAAAAAAAAAAAAAGAAAAAAAAAGAAAAAAATAAAAAAAAAAAAAAAGTCTGTTACTACAGAGTATTTAAGAATATTTAAGTACATATGTAATAGATTCTTATACATGCAAGTCTATAAATATGTAAAAAATATCATTAAATACTATATTATCATTACCTTAAATTTTTTTTATTTTTTGTTTTTTTTTTTTTTTTTTTTTTTTTTTTTTTTTTTTTGTATTTTAGGTATGGATCAGAATTGATTTCAGCTGGAAAAATGACTCCAGGTGATGTCTTTTCTGTAAGTTGTATATTTATTTAAAAGTGTTGCAATGAATAATCTTTACTTATTGGTTAATTATCTTGATTATCACTCATTTATAGTATTAGCATTAGATTGATTTTAAATAATCTAAGTATGTTTCATGTGCGGAGTTCATAGCTTATTTGATCAATTTTGTAATTTCATTTATTTATCCTAAGCTTTGTTACGTGAAACATGTGCTTTTATTAAATAGCCCACCAAGATCATCTAAAGAGATAGAAATTAAATCACCATAAATCAATTTCAATTCAAGTGTTATTTAATTTAACATGCATGATTATCCAATTGTGGGTACTATATAAAATGTAAATATGTATCTTAAATATTAGTTTCATATAATTTTAACTATATATTACTGCAAATTAATTTAGGTATTTTTTGCCGTTATGATTGGATCGTTTTCTCTGGGTAATGCAATGCCTCACATGACAGCTGTTTCAACTGCAAAAGGATCAGCTGCAAAAGTTTTTCAAATTATTGAAACGGTATGCTTTTGTCTAATTAAATAGGTCTTTGTTGATGTCCTGTTAATGTATTTTAATTACTAATTGATTTATATATTTTTCGTTTCATGTGGTCATTTAAATGCTGGTTATTTCATCGTTATTTAACTTTTTCAGTATTTTTATATGTTAATTTCAGAGAAACCAAGGCTGCAAGAGAGATTTACAGGCTGAGAAATTTTGTTAACTAAATCTAGATTTAATTTATTTTAAAAAGTACAAAAATCATCAGAAAATACCTCTACTTATTTTCTCAACAATAAGAAAATTATTATTTTATAGTGTAAAAATGTCTGCTTCTGTCATGACTTTTACAGGTTATCAAAATTTACCATTAATAATGGTGTGTAATATTCTTCAAAATATGAATATGACCACATATAGCTTCAAATCTATTTATTTTGACACTTGGCCAGTGACTTATAAATGTACCATAGTTCGACTTCTCAGTTGTTTCAAAAGTCTATTGACATATAGCTTGAAAAAAGCTTTTGTTAATTTTACAGTGGTTTCCAAAAATTAAGGAAAATTTTTAAAAAGACAGTTAATAAAATGAACAAATAAAAAAGTTATGACATTTGTTGTTTCTAAAGAAATATTTCTGAACAAAACATCAATATGCAGAATACTAAAAATGCAATCAATTTGCATCATGATAACTATCCTAAGTATGTTTGTTTCAAAGTTACTTTTTTCCTTGTGTTACAATGATATAAAAAATCTGAAAGCTAATTTTTTGTAATGACTTCCGGGTAAAATTTTTAAAGAACTTTGATGACGGCTATTAGGAGACCGGAGGTAATATAAAGATATAAATGGTCAAAGCATAATTGTGAGTTTAGAGGAAAGTCAAGAGTTACAATGTGAACTGAAAACTTATGTTTGTAGTTATCAGTATGCTGAAACACCACCTAGATTAACGAATTCCGAATCTTAACTTGCTGCAACCACGGGGAATAATGATATCTCTTATATCCTGTTTGCAGATGACTTCATGAAGGAGGCTTTTAGGCTAGACAACCAGACATTTGTTTATTTCTTTCTCACTTCTCTTCATTAACTGGGTTACTTGCATTAGGCACATGTGCACCTCAGCTGAACTAATGGAAGAACATTTTCTTCACAGAGTAGTCCAGGTTTATTTAGCAGTGTGATAGTAGTTTTTGATATAGAATGACTTGGACCTTGCTACTCTTAATCACACAACATGTGTGTTACCGATTGGCTTATATATGAGCCATATGGTTTCCTGAAACAGACTGTTTTGAATGTGAGATGGTGATAGAGGCATAATCCCTTTATAATTTCTCACTAAAGTCCATAACAACTGCGCTTGTATTAAGTAGTGGTCTTTAAGAAACTATGGATCTTCTCTGAATGACTGTCTGGAAGTTGGGCCAAATATAGTAGATTTACTAATTCAGAAGTCAAACAACAAAAATCAGCGTTATACCTACAAAATTTTCACAGGACTAGTTTCGATGGTTTTACCGAACCATCATCTTCAGCTGCAAAACCGCAAATGAACAAGATAGGAAATAATGATTAGATAAGATAAGAAAGCCTGGACAAGAATAAGCAAGTGGCGCCATCTGTTGGCGAAACCAAAACTAAAACATAATTTCTCTAAAAGCCGAAGGCAAATTTGGATTGGAATTAGGATCGTTAACTAGAACAGAAAGATTTTTATGAATGTGAAATGCCTCTAGAAAATCCAGTTCTCCAATGGAAGATGTTTTTTGAATAATTTTGGCAGCAGAGGCATTTCACATTCATAAAAATCTTTCTGTTCTAGTTAACGATCCTAATTCCAATCCAAATTTGCCTTCGGCTTTTAGAGAAATTATGTTTTAGTTCTGGTTTCGCCAACAGATGGCGCCACTTGCTTATTCTTGTCCAGGCTTTCTTATCTTATCTAATCATTATTTCCTATCTTGTTCATTTGCGGTTTTGCAGCTGAAGATGATGGTTCGGTAAAACCATCGAAACTAGTCCTGTGAAAATTTTGTAGGTATAACGCTGATTTTTGTTGTTTGACTTCTGAATTAGTATTTATTCGGCGTGTTTTATTGTGTCTTAATTATAGAAGCCCCAAACAGGCTTACATTTTGCTTTCTTTTTTGCACGTGGTGTGGCCGCCATTTTGTGATTGTAGGAGTTTCGGTGAGTACATTTTTTTCAATTTTCAAGTTATGTTTATGTTTTGTACATTTGGATATTGTGCTTTGCTTGTCTGATTTCATGCATTTTGCTTACAAACGTTTTTGTTTTCTATTCATTTCAGTGAGGGATTTTTCTGCTGTTTTGTGTGTACTTTATTATTGCTCAGTTAATTTAGTTTGATTTTCTGCATTGTTTATCATGCCTTCATCCGTTAATCGTTTCACTAAATTACGCCTGAAACGGCAAAAATTCCTGAATCATCTTGACTTTTTACTTAAATGTAAATGTAAAAAATTGATCCCCAATTTTATTCAAATCAAATCTAATCAAAAACCTTCGAGTCGCGTTTCAAGAATTCTGTTAAATTGCAAGCTTGCCTTACTTCGGTCCGTGATAAGGGATACACGTCAACAATTGTCCAAAATTGAACATGAACTCTATAAGCTTCATCTGGAACTCGCTAAATCATATCCAAAATTCACTGCCCTTGAACAAAAGTCTTGGTCTAGAACGGAGAATGCAGTTAACCGTCATAAAAACACCCTTGCAGTTAAATTCGAAAAACTTCTTTTACAGTCTTCCAGTTCAAGTAGTTCAAAAAATCTTCCCATTGTAAACATCAAGCCAATAGTTAATATTTCTAATGTTAGTCTTTCAGAAGAACAAGAGAGAATTCTAAAATATAATTTTAACTTCTCACAAACCTGTAAACCCTCGATTCCAAAGATTTTGGCTCCTATCGAAAAAGCTTTCAAGTTCAGTAAAGTTTCAGATTCACAGAAAGAAATGATTAGGCATCTTATCGCTCATAATGTGAAATTCAATAATAAACCTTTGAAATCAAATCTAACTGCGAGAGAAAGAGCTACAATGCGCGAAATTCATTCTAACCCGGATATTATCATTTCAAAGGCCGACAAAGGTGTCCAGATAGTCGTCATGGATACACTTACATACACTTACATCAATGGTGTCACTAAACTCTTAAACGAAGGACCATATAATCCGATCCCTAAAGATCCTTCACCTTCGGACTTATCCAAAATAAAAACTGCGATCAAATCTTCGCAAATCATTTCAAGCAACTTAAAACATTCGCTTATCCCATCTGTTGCGAATTGTGCCAGATTATATGCTCTTCCCAAAATTCATAAAAGTGGTATTCCTTTCCGCCCTATTGTATCAAATTTAGGTACTGCCTCGTATCCTTTAGCTAAATATTTAGTTTCTAGATTTTCCACTCTATTAGACAATAACATTTACACCATAAAAAATTCAATAGAGTTTGTAAAAAAGGTTAAAAACATTTCTCCTAGTAATTTACTCATGGTTTCTTTTGATGTAAAATCATTATTCACCAATGTCCCAGTGGAGGGTGCATTAAGATGTCTAGAAACCAGACTTCGCGAATTTCATTTCTCTTGCATCGAAATTGATGAGCTAATTTCTCTCACTCAACTCTGTTTGAAACAAACACATTTTGTTTTCCAAAATAAATATTACAAGCAAACTGAGGGATTAGCCATGGGAAGCCCCCTCAGTCCCATCCTGGCTGATATCTACATGCATTATTATGAATCAAAATTGTTTGAAACTTTAAACTTCCCGGCATGGTTCCGCTACGTAGACGATACTTTTACCCTGTTTGAAGGTAATAAAGATGATTTAAATAAAGTTCTTTCAACAATGAATTCTATTGATCCTGCTATTCAGTTCACTTTTGAACTTGAGACTTGCAATTCTCTTCCGTTTCTCGACATTCTGGTCACACGTAACACATCCAACTTCAGTACTACAGTTTACCGTAAACCTTCATCGGTTTGCCTTCCACCACACTTTAAATCATGTCATCCGACTAAACAAAAGTTAGCTTCATTTTATTCCTATGTTTTCCGTGCTCTTCAAGTTTGCTCCTCCAAACTAGCCCTTGATGAAGAACTAAATTATTTAAAAGCAATAGCTATTGACAGGGGCTTTTCACCCAACATTATTAATCAAGCAATTAAAAAATTCTCATCTCAACACACCAAAAAGCCACACTCTTATTTTAGGAGATTATAAAAATTCTGTTGTCATTCCCTTCTTTCCATCAATTAGCTATAAAATTGCACATATTTTGCAGAAATTTAACTTTCGGGTTGTTTATTCTCCCATCAATAAAATTCCAACTTCTATTACTCAAGGACCCCATTCCGGATATGAATTCCTGTGGTATTTATAGGATTCCTTGCCAGTGTGGTTTAATTTACATTGGCCAAACTAAGAGAGCCTTAAAATTTCGCGTCATAGAACATGAGGCATATGTTAGAAAAAAGGAAACACAGAAGTCTTCTGTTGCTCAACATTGTTGGTCCGAAAATCACACTTTCAATTTTTCTGCTGCCAAAATTATTCAAAAAACATCTTCCATTCTTTGGAGAAGCTGGATTTTCTAGAGGCATTTCACATTCATAAAAATCTTTCTGTTCTAGTTAACGATCCTAATTCCAATCCAAATTTGCCTTCGGCTTTTAGAGAAATTATGTTTTAGTTCTGGTTTCGCCAACAGATGGCGCCACTTGCTTATTCTTGTCCAGGCTTTCTTATCTTATCTAATCATTATTTCCTATCTTGTTCATTTGCGGTTTTGCAGCTGAAGATGATGGTTCGGTAAAACCATCGAAACTAGTCCTGTGAAAATTTTGTAGGTATAACGCTGATTTTTGTTGTTTGACTTCTGAATTAGTATTTATTCGGCGTGTTATTGTGTCTTAATTATAGTAGATTTAATCCAATAGTTTTAATTAATTTTATAATTTATGTAATCGCTTTATCCTGTC